GAGCGGTCGCCGCCTCCCAGGGAAGGTAGGGACGGGGCTGGGCCGGGGTAACCCACAGCCTGGCAGGGTTTGGCACTGGCTCTCTCGCTGGGCTGCAAGGTCTAGCAGACCTCATTATTCTTGAAAGCAAAAATTAATCATCTGCTCTGGAGAGAGGCTGGTGAAGCTTTGACTCGATCTGGCCTTTCTCTTGAGGGCCACTATTTACCTTCAAGTTTCCTGTGTGACCTTGTGGTGATCCAACCCACTTCTACAGGTAGACCTTAAATATCAGCAATTCAGATCATTTTATTTCTTAAAATTCTGCAACATAAGCATCCCTAATGCAAACTTATGACCAAATTCAAGAATGCGACAGGGGGAAAGTTCGAAGGGATTCCCACGATGCACCAGCACTTAACACTGGTGCTGACCCACCCACCCCCTCCACCACCACGACCACCGCCCCAGAAATGCGACTCCAGTGCCCAGTGCGTTCTTTCATGCTGGTGGGACCTGAGACATTTCAAAGAACGTGGACCAAGTCAAGAAAAGTGGCTGACTTTCATCTCTCCCTTAGCTCTGAACTGTGATTCCTTAATAACTGGATGCTATTGTGTTTAAAGAATGGCAAATGTCGGGCAAAGAGTCCTTAGCCCATGTATGTCCCAAAGGATAGTCAATTCGTTTTTGCCAATTATTTCTAGAATACATGAAAGCTGTTAACAGCTCCTGTGAGCTCAAGTAAAATTTCAGCATTTTGAGCAGGAAGGGCTGGTGACCATACATCCATTCCACTCCACCTCCTATCTATAATAAATAACCTATAATAATAAAAGGATAATAAGCTAATTAGACCAGACAGCTGGACCACCTTCCAGGCAAAGCTGGGGCTGTGAGGGCAGAGCCCCTTGCACGAATGTCATGCATCGGGCCTCTAGTCCTATATAATAAAAGGCTAATAGACAAAAAAACCAAACAGCAGAACAACCAACCAGTCGCTATGATGTGTGCTGACCACCAGGAGGCGTGCGCAGAACATGTAGCATTGGCTGCCATGGGATGGTGGAGCAGGTGAGCAGGGGTGCCAGACCAAGACGGGACCCTGAGCACTGTCATCAGGGAGAACCTCTGGTGGTTACTAAACATTCTTTGCTCCCATGCATGGCAGTCTTGCCTGGCGCACCTGCTGCCGGCGCCAGAGCTGCCACTTGCACCTGCTGCCGATGTCCGGCACCGGTCCCAATCACAAGGCGCCATCAACAGGTGTGAGTGGTGTCTGTCGGCCCTGATCCCCTCTGAGGGCTTCTCCACCTCCCAGCTGCCACTTGCACCTGCTGCCGATGTCCGGCACCGGTCCCAATCACAAGGCGCCATCAACAGGTGTGAGTGGTGTCTGTCGGCCCTGATCCCCTCTGAGGGCTTCTCCACCTCCCCCTCTTCCTGAGGGGTGATCAGGGCAGCAGACACCACTCACACCCGCTGAGTGAGCCAGCCCTGCTAGCACCCACTGCTGGCACCAACCCCAATAGCTCTGTGCCTTCAGCAGGTACGAGTGGGGCGGGCACCGACACCATCAGCAAGTGGGAGCAGCGGCAGTGGGAGCAGGGCTGCTGGCAGACAGGATCAGGGGCCATGGCAGGAGGGGCCAGGCAGGGGCGCAGAGGATGGGCCGAGACCCGCCCCTGTGCCCACCGCAGCCTCCTGGCCCACAGTTCCTTTCAAGGTGCATGAATTCATGCACTGGGTCCCCAGTTTTTCCTATAAAATTATAGTCAGCTATATACTTCATACAAAAGGATGAGAGACTAAGCATGAGCAATCTAAAAAAAAGAGAAAGGTTTTAAAAAGACGATTATGTGTATGTGTGTATGTGTGTGTGGTAGGGCAGTGTTTATGACTTCTTATATTTTACTTTGTTTTGTTTCTGTTAGGGGCAGAAATAGAATATTGGGGACTAGCTATAATTTTAAGAAGTATTAATCATGCTCTGTTAACCTTGATTGTTTTGTTCTGATGAAAGAAGGCACATTCTGACCTGGCTAGGAGCTCACCTGGAAATGCAGCCCATCATCCCCACCAGGGAGCTGCCTGTTATCATGGAAGGATTAACAGCCTAGTTGTAGAAACCAGAGCCTGGAGCCCTTCCCATATCCCCAGCCCTTTGAAGACCCCCAGCCTTTGCAGATGCTCAGGCCTTTGCAAATCTCAAGC